CGTCCGAAAAAAAAAGGTCTATCTCCTATGGTGGGTATGAGGATCAAAGTGATATGCTGTACCTGTGGGTCTTACCACAACGCCTAACTCATTAAGTGATGACTTCCATTATGATGGTTTTTTTCAATTTTCGTTTTCCTTTTTTTTTTTTTTTTAAAGAGACTAAGTCTTGTTTTTGTCACCCAGGCTGGAGTGCAGTGGCCCGATCATAGCTCACTGCAGCCTTGAACTCTTGGGCTCCAGCAATCCTCCTGTCTCAATGATGGTTTTAATTTTACAGAGCTTTGAGAAATAAAGGCACAAAGGAGGAAATGAAGTCACCCATAACCTCATTCCCTGGAATTCACCATTGTAAAAATTGTAATATAAGTCTCTTCTGTTTTCCTCTACTTAATACCTATATGTGCTTTGTTCATTCAGCATCTGTATGATGATTTTCCCATGCTTATAAATAGTTTCTTTAAAGAAAGCATCTTTATAACAACATATGGAGCTCTGTGCACTGTAATTTATTTAGGGTCTCTGTTTTTGCCTAAATTTTTCCTCTTTTTTTTTTCTGTTATAAATGCTGTGATGAATAAACCTAAATCTCCACGCATTGCTTAGGTTGTTTCCTTAGGATGAATTCCTAGAACGGGGAATTGTCGAGTCAAGGGGGAGGGGATGTGCATTTTTGAGGCCTTCAGTGTATGCTGCCTGGTCACCTGTAGGAAGGTGGTACTCACTTCCTCTCCCTCCGGCAGAGCAGGGCATCACCCAGGGAAACAGGCATCCTTGCCTGCTGGCTGATGTTTCTTGAGTGATCCCGCATGGGACATTCTTGGAGGCAACAGTTTCTCACTGCCTCTGTTCTCTCTTTGTTTTTCCTCCCTTCCCCTTTGTTTCCCTTCTTGGTTTCCTACCAGACAGCCTCTTGTGAAAGGACTGCCTAATTAACCCTGTGCTAATTAACAATTTAAAATTACACGGTGCGACTGTTCATGTTTAATTCTCCGGGAGCTGGAGCAACAGCAGGAGCCCCTCCCCTTCGTCATAACCACACCCCTGCCACCCCAGCTTCCCTGAAACTGTTGCATTTTACCCAGTCCTGCCTCCTTAAGGGAACAGGATAAAACTGTCCTAAGCACGTTTTTAAAGAGGGAGATGAACGTTTTGATTAATAGGGAGTTACAGGGTAACAGGGTAGAGTTTTATCCTTTTAAACAATCTTTGAAAAGTAAAGATTGACATTTGCAAAGATGCAGTGGGCTTTACAGGTGGTTCCAAGGGAGGCTGGAAGATGAGCAGGGGTTGGGGGGTGCTTGATGAAGGTGCTGGAATTCTTCTGTACAAGATTACCTTTCAAATGGCAGATTTAAGTGCTAAGCAGAGAGTGAGCAAGCTAGGTCATTCCTGTATCTTCCCTTTAACTTTCTCATTGGAGAGATGTGCTCTATTAAAATCTAACTGAATTCTTAAAGCCCATATGTTTAGTGCAACATTGGGGGTTGTGAGTAGAATACCTGGACGTTTTTTAGAGGGAGTTCTGGGTGCCACCAGCAGAGAAGCGGGCTGCAGGAAGGGAGGAGGGGTGTGAACCTGTACGAGCTGGCCCTGGCACTAGGGAAGCACTGGGAAGGGGCACAGAACCTGGGGGGAGCCTGAAGAGAGGTATGCGTGTCGGGCTGGTGGGGCTGCTTGGAAAAGCGCGAGGACCCACTGGGTTCCCAGGCTGCCCTCTGTAACTGAAGATCATTGATTTTACGGGAAACCGTGTTTACAGACAGAGTGCTGATCGACCTGCCGAGTTGACTTCTGCCTCCTTAAGTAAGAACTACCTTTTTCTTATTGACTGGCTGATAAACAGAGCGAGAGAGAGACAGCCGGCTGTGGGGGGAGTGGCAGATGCCCCAAGACCCTTGAGCCGCAGGATGGGGCCGGTTGGAGAGACTTCTTTATCTCTGTGCGCAGGTCCCCGTCTTCTCCATCTCCATCCCTGCACCTCCCAGGGACCACAGGGAGTCTAAGACTGACCTTCCCTGGTTACCTAGCAATATGGGTACCAAGGACAGAAGAGCTGTGCTTGGTACCTGTATTGGTGAAGATGGAGTGAAGTAGAGTGTCTTAAGTTTAATGCAAGGTCCCTGAGGATGGTGTGAAAATGCAGATTCTGATGGGGCAGGAGGAGAGAGTGCATGTGTCTTAAGCTCCCCGGAGAGGATAGTGCTTCAAGTCCATGAACCACGCTTTGTTTGGCAACGGGCCTGCTTGTCGCAGCCGGTGCACATGGGAAGGAGGCCCAGAGGAGGTAGCTTGGGTCCTGCAGTCGGTTCCTCCTCTCCCACCTGTGTCCTCATGGCTGCTGCTCCCCATGAATGGGTGGGCTCTAGTGTCACCACCACAGGGTCACCAACCACCATCATAGGTGGGTACGGTGTCATTCTTTCCTGACATCTTCTGCTTTGCAGTAGAAAACAAAGTAAGGGAAGTTTTAAAAGTCCCAGCCCCTTGGCTGGATAGTTTGTGGAAGAGGAGGAGGAATAAGAGGAGAACAGAGCAAGAGAAGCCCACCAATTAATTGGTAAACGCTTGCAGGTTTCTTTGGCCCAGCCCAGGCTGGAGAGGAGATTGGCTTTGCTGTCGATAAACAAGTCCCTGGTGCAGCATCAAAGCTGTTCTCCTTTATCAATCGTGGCCCCCCCCCTTCCCGCATGTTCCTGTAACTTACCAAGCATTTATGACATTGATTTTACAATCGGGCTGTTAACCCTCCCGCCCCTTCAGGCTTGCCAACCTTTTTGGCCCAAGCTGTCAATCAGATGTCGTCCAGCCAATCAGAAGCATCCCTAAGAAGAGTGACCCCGTAGTCTCACCTGTATCCTGACTCAACCTTGTGAGGAAGTCCCATTGCGTTTGCTGTTTGGTTTGGTTTAATGTAGTCGTCTCTGTTTAAAATGAATATGTCCTTTCTAAGGCGCATGGAACTTTGTGGTTGCAAAATCTGAGGTTATAAACGGAGAGATGGGGTGTGTGTTTGCATATGTGTATTAGACACATCATAGCTTTAGTCTTCCAAAAAGTTATTTCTCCCTGAGACTTGTGGTAAATCTGCCGTCCCCATCTTTTCCCGAGGGGGAGCTGTTGACTCATTGTGCAGTCAATAATCAAGAACTGAAAAAAAGATTGGGAAGATAGGGGCTGTTGGGGAGGGAAGTAAGATCAAACCTGGCCGAAAGCTTCACCAGCTGGCTATGAATGAGATGGTGGGTGGAGAAGCGGCCACATGTTCTCCAGGAGGAGCTGCAGGGGAATGGTGGCTGGGGACCTACGGGCGAAGGATCAAGGCTCTGCGAGGTGCTGAGCTGCCTGTAGGAGCAGGGCCAGACGGAATAATCACCCCTGCGATGATATTACCGCAGGAGCAGAGTGGCGACGATCCGATGCCTCCCTCCCCAGGGACGTGAGGTCTCAGAGGGCACATTCAGCTCAGTGGCACTTTGGAGTCGGAAATGGAAAAGCCCCAGGGCTGAATGACAGCTGGTTGGGTAGCGACTAATAACTAAGAGGCAGGTGTGGAGCTGGGGCTTGCCGAGCCCAGCTGCCGTCTCGGCTTGCCACTCAGATCCTTGATAGCAAAAACCACCAAGCACGTGGGGAACGCACTCCCTCCAGCCAGGGCCAGATAGAAGCTGCTGGAGGGGGTGTTGGCAGATCCAGAGTCTGGTCCATTCCTGCTGGAAATACCAAGCTCACGTTTTGCACCTATGTAGTTTTAGTCTGAAGTCAGCTGAGTCACAGGCCAGGGAGCTTGACTGGTATGGGTGGAGGAGACAGGAATCTGGGGACCCATCTTCTCTTCTGTTTCACAGTGGTCAGATTAGCACTGAGCCAGTTTTTAGATTCAAGCCCCTCAGTTTTACTGCTTATAAAATGGGACTGATGCCTCCCAGACCTGGAGAGGACTTTGCGGAGTGCGTCTAGTCCTGCACGCCTGCCCTGTGAACCTCAGGTTCCTCACCCACCTTCTTTGAACTTCTGAAACTAGAACCATGGTCAGTAAAAGCCACGGCAACTTTTCTAAATCCATGAGCGTATCCCACGCTACCGTCGTTTTTCCGGGAACATTGAACCTTCCTCTTCTCAGCCCTCCTCTGTATTCCCCTGAGCCACAGACAGTGCGGGGAGCTGATGCTGACTTTGTGTGAGTTGTCCAGAAGTGGTAGGGCTGTGGCTGTGACCTTGTGGGGGGGCTGGAGAGATGATGCGTCTGTTCTCCACTGTGGCCTATCGAAGCTATGCTGGCAAAGAATGGATATTCCTGCTAGTCTTCAGGGGCAGAGCAGTGACAATTCGAAGTCGAAGAGGCCTGCTCCCGGCCTTCTTTCCCCATGTCCCTTGCTCAGGCTGTTGACCCGGCCGCGCCACCCCTATGTGCTGGACCATGCGGGGCAGTGTCCCCAGGCCCGTCCTCTGTCCGGTGTCTCTGTGTTGTGGGTGTTGTGGACAGAAGCCTCTTAGAGCGCTCCGTGCGGTGGTACCTCAGCCTCGGCCCTCCTAACCTCTTTCCTTTCTCTCTCTCTTTCCCCTCTCTCCCTCCTCCCCCCTTGCCTCCGCCCTTCAGGTCCGATCCTCCGTACTGGGTGCAATGAAAGCTCCACGCAGGCCTTACCATGGAAGGCTGTGACTCGCCCGTCGTCTCGGGGAAGGACAATGGGTGCGGTATCCCTCAGCACCAGCAATGGACTGAACTCAACAGCACCCACCTCCCTGACAAACCCAGTAGCATGGAGCAGTCCACAGGCGAGAGCCACGGGCCCTTGGACAGCCTGAGGGCCCCCTTCAATGAGCGCCTTGCCGAGAGCACCGCGTCGGCCGGGCCCCCCGCCGAGCCCGCCAGCAAGGAGGTCACCTGCAACGAATGTTCGGCTTCCTTTGCCAGCCTCCAGACCTACATGGAGCACCACTGCCCCAGCACGCGCCCCCCGCCGCCCCTGAGAGAGGAGAGCGCCAGCGACACCGGTGAGGAGGGGGACGAGGAGAGTGACGTGGAGAACCTGGCCGGGGAGATCGTCTACCAGCCGGACGGCTCCGCGTACATTGTGGAGAGCCTGAGCCAGCTGACCCAGGGCGGGGGCGCCTGTGGGAGTGGCAGCGGCAGTGGGCCTCTCCCCTCGCTTTTCCTGAACTCTCTCCCTGGCGTGGGGGGCAAGCAAGGGGACCCCTCGTGTGCTGCACCCGTGTACCCGCAGATCATCAACACTTTCCACATAGCCTCATCCTTCGGGAAATGGTTTGAGGGCCCAGACCAGGCTTTCCCGAATACCTCAGCCCTGGCGGGGCTCAGCCCCGTCCTGCACAGCTTCCGCGTGTTCGACGTGCGACACAAAAGCAACAAGGATTACCTGAACAGCGACGGCTCTGCCAAAAGCTCCTGCGTATCCAAAGATGTTCCTAACAATGTGGACCTGTCCAAATTCGATGGCTTTGTGCTCTACGGCAAGAGGAAGCCCATCCTGATGTGTTTCTTGTGCAAACTCTCCTTCGGGTACGTCCGTTCGTTTGTGACCCACGCGGTGCATGACCATCGAATGACCCTGAGCGAAGACGAGCGGAAAATTCTTAGCAATAAGAACATCTCCGCTATCATCCAAGGGATCGGCAAAGACAAGGAACCCCTTGTAAGTTTTCTGGAACCAAAAAACAAGAACTTTCAACACCCTTTAGTTTCCACAGCTAACCTCATAGGCCCCGGACACAGTTTTTATGGTAAATTTAGTGGCATTCGAATGGAAGGGGAGGAAGCTCTCCCAGCCGGCTCCGCCGCTGGCCCCGAGCAGCCCCAGGCTGGTCTCTTGACCCCCAGCACCCTGTTGAACCTTGGCGGGCTCACCAGCTCGGTCCTGAAGACCCCCATTACCTCAGTCCCCCTGGGGCCTCTGGCTTCCAGTCCTACCAAATCCTCAGAGGGCAAGGACTCCGGGGCGGCGGAAGGAGAGAAGCAGGAAGTGGGCGACGGGGATTGCTTCTCGGAGAAAGTAGAGCCAGCCGAAGAGGAGGCGGAGGAGGAAGAGGAGGAGGAAGAGGCGGAGGAGGAGGAGGAAGAAGAGGAGGAGGAAGAAGAGGAGGAGGAAGACGAGGGTTGCAAAGGACTCTTTCCAAGCGAGTTGGATGAGGAACTGGAGGACAGGCCTCACGAGGAGCCTGGGGCCGCAGCAGGTAGTAGCAGCAAAAAGGACCTTGCTCTCTCAAACCAAAGCATTTCTAACTCCCCCTTAATGCCTAACGTGCTCCAGACGCTGTCGAGGGGCACAGCTTCTACTAGTTCTAATTCTGCTTCTTCCTTTGTTGTCTTTGATGGTGCGAACAGGAGGAATCGTTTAAGCTTTAACAGTGAGGGCGTCAGGGCCAATGTGGCAGAGGGCGGCAGGAGGCTGGACTTCGCTGACGAAAGTGCCAATAAAGACAATGCCACAGCACCAGAACCAAATGAAAGCACAGAGGGCGACGATGGGGGCTTCGTTCCCCATCACCAGCACGCTGGCTCCCTCTGCGAGCTTGGGGTTGGGGAGTGCCCCTCGGGGAGTGGCGTGGAGTGCCCCAAATGCGACACGGTCCTGGGCTCCTCCCGCTCGCTGGGCGGTCATATGACCATGATGCATTCTCGTAACTCGTGTAAGACACTCAAGTGCCCCAAGTGCAACTGGCACTATAAGTACCAGCAGACCCTGGAGGCACACATGAAGGAGAAGCACCCGGAGCCGGGGGGCTCCTGCGTCTACTGCAAAAGCGGGCAGCCCCACCCCCGGCTGGCACGAGGCGAGAGCTACACGTGTGGTTACAAGCCTTTCCGCTGCGAGGTGTGTAACTACTCCACAACTACCAAAGGCAACCTCAGTATTCATATGCAGTCCGACAAGCATCTCAACAACATGCAGAACCTGCAGAACGGAGGCGGGGAGCAGGTCTTCAGCCACACTGCCGGGGCGGCGGCGGCAGCGGCGGCTGCGGCGGCGGCGGCGGCCAATATCAGTAGCTCCTGCGGGGCCCCCTCGCCCACCAAACCAAAAACCAAACCCACCTGGCGGTGCGAGGTGTGTGATTATGAGACCAACGTGGCCAGGAACCTCCGCATTCACATGACCAGTGAGAAGCACATGCATAACATGATGTTACTGCAGCAGAACATGACCCAGATCCAACACAACCGCCACCTGGGCCTCGGCAGCCTGCCCTCGCCCGCCGAGGCCGAGCTCTACCAATACTACCTGGCCCAGAACATGAACCTGCCCAACCTGAAGATGGACAGTGCTGCCTCCGACGCCCAGTTCATGATGAGCGGATTCCAGCTGGATCCCGCGGGGCCCATGGCCGCCATGACGCCTGCTCTAGGTGAGGATGACTACGTGTTTGTCTGTTTTCATGATAGGAATTTAACCAGGGAGAATGGTGAATAGGGTGAGATAGTCCTGTGGATTCAGTTGACTCTGGTCTTCTTGAGTGGTTTTTGTGTAAACTGGATTGTCTTACAGTCAAGTATTTATTCTCAAGAATCCCTTGAACTCTGTGTGTGCATATGGAAAAGTTTATGCATTCAAGAGAGATATGATTGTACTCTGGCTACATGGGGCTGGGATTAAAATGTGAGTGTTTCCTCTAGTTTTCTGTTCCCATTCTGTCTTTCTCTGTCTCTTTTTTCAATTTGAAAAATCACTATAATCACCCAAAACTTTGGGGTTTCATCAGATATTTACTGAAACTTACAGGAAACTATAGCTGAGGCAGTCATCTCAATAAGAGGACTAGGGACAGTTATCTCTATGATTTAAATAGAGACAATCATCTCAATAATAGGAATTTGGAACCACTGTATGTTATTCATATAGCCAAAGGCTGATTCTGTGCGGAGCTGGGAGCCACCCAGATAGACTCCACAAGGTTCTCTGTATATTTATGAGGATCTCGATGAAAGAGATGTGATTTTTTTTTTTGTTATTTTCGATGAGTACTTGGTGATTAGAATAGTTGGGAATTAATTGGGAATTGAATTGCCCCAGTGGCACTGTTGTGAAGGGTGTGAGAGATGAATAAGAAGTAAGTCGTAAACATTGTCCATGGAGGAAAGTTAACTGTTAATAGCAGTTAGATCCTGGTTAGCAGAGCCTTTGTTGCCGGAAAGAATGACCTCTGCTTTAGAGAAACTGATTTGGCTCTGTCCAGGCTCCCAGTCTTACCAATGAGCTTACCATTATCTAGAATAGGACGGATTTGGGTGCTGAAAACTTTGAGTTTTTACGTAGAACGAACCACAGCCACTTTGAGGATAGCTGCTGCCGCCAAAACAATCTACAGATGGGTTTCATGAGAACCCTTTGATAGCTGGGCCATTCATGCCTCCACCCTGTATGCCTCAAATAGGATCCTGCCTGCGCCACATCCCGTGACCCTGCTAATGGACTTCGTGGGACCAGTGACAACGGCCTGAATTAAGCAATATGCCATTATTGACATGGGAATAGGTTGTTCTTGGCAACAGAGTGTCAGTGAGGACTTTTTTCCGGGATGGCTTAGATGACTGCAGAGCCAAGCCTCACCAGTTGGCAGGTGTTTATTTGTGTAGTGTTTTAGTGCTAATTGTTGCCTATGAGTTATATTTCAAAGCGTTCCGTTGGTTTTTCTTGCTATGTATTCAACTTTGAATCCTTAGTACTTTAATCTTTTCCATTTTGAAATATTTGCCCATTGATCCTTTATTACCAAATGATTTGAAGGTATTTGACCAACTGGCTAATCGTGGATGCACAAGCACTGGTCGCCTTATTTGTCCCCAGGGTGAACCATGCACGCCAGGGGATGGGCGTGAGTACACTAAGGTTTTTTTTTAAACCAGTAGGAGTTGGAAGGAGTCAGAGAATCTTGGGAGGCAGATCTTGGAGCAAATCAAACATAATGGAAGTGAAATGAAGACAGAACATGGGTAGGTTCATGTTGGGTCAAAGTGAGGTTTTTTTTTTTTGAAACAGTCTCTCTTTGTCACCCAGGCTGGAGTGCAGTGGCGTTATCTCGGCTCACTGCAACCTCCACCTCCTGGGTTCAAGCGATACTCCTGCCATAGCCTCCCACGTAGCTGGGATTACAGGCCCCCACCACCATGCCTGGCTAATTTTGTATTTTTAGTAGAGATGGGGCTTCACCATATTGGCCAGACTGGTCTCGAACTCTTGACCTCAGGTGATCCGCCCACCTTGGCCTCCCAAAGTGCTGGGATTACAGACGTGAGTCACTGTGCCCGGCCTAAAGTGAGGCTTTTTAATTATCTTGAGAACAGGTAACTAAGGCTCGCATTGAGAAGTAGAGAAATATTTCACTTTCACACCAAGTGTCTGTGAGTCTTTGGGGCATCATGCACTGTCCTGGGCATTGCGGCAGATTCAGAAGGAGCAGAAGAATGAAGCCCTGTGTTCTAGACACACATGGAAGGGCCGCACCTTATTTCTTGGAGAGACTAGAACTCTTCCTCCCACAGGATTTATCCAACTCAGTCACAAAGGGCCCTTGAATTTCCAGTGTCACTACTTGTTGGCCAAGGGGAGTCCCTGGAAACCTGTGCCTTCCTTGGTCCACGAGAGCTGCTGAGAAGGTGCGAGAGCCACAAATCCTTTATGCCGGAAGCTCAAGTGGGTGTGGGGGCCATAGGAAGTGTCCAAAGGACTTGGAATTTGAGTTGTATCATCTCAGTAGGAGAAACCAACTTATGCAAATAAAAACAGCCATAACTTTCAGTTCTAGCTGTGGCTCTACTGATTTTTGTCTTTTTTATTTTTCCCCCATAGTCCATTTATAAGATGGCTGTAGGTGTTATTAGACGTGACTGAGTTCTGAAGGGGGAAAAAAGTTTTTGTGAAATGCACTCCTCCTTACAAGGTGATTGTTCTCATACTTCCCTTGCCAGAGCCCTCTTTAGTATCATCAAACAGACACTGATTCTGGGGATGCTTCTTTTCAGAGGCCTTTGAGGAAAGAGTTGGGGCTCCTTTGCCTAGTACAGTTGGATCTGCTGCTTTTTGTAGACAGCACATTAGATTTGAGGCCTTGTGAACATCCTCCCAAACCTTTCTTTCGACTCTGAAGTTTAGCATAGCACCAAGAAAGTGGTTGCTTGTGAGGGTGGAGAGAACTAGATACCAAGATGCCCAGCGTTTCTGGTTGCCGTATCCTAGGGGACTGGAGGGAAGGCTGCTCTGCTTCCAGCCTTTCGCCACGGTAGAA